CCGTTAAGTTATAAGCGGTAAATTTTAAAAATTTCACTTTAAAATGCTACAGTTTATGCAGAATTTTTGAATATAGTTTTCTGACTTCATTTCAAAATTGTTTAAATAATTTTATAATGTAAAATTAAAGTTTTAATTTATTTTATATTAAAATTTATTTATAACGGCTAAATTCATATTTGATAAGTTATATGCACAATTTTAATAAAAATGTATTGATTAATTTGTTTTTTAAATTTATTAAAAAATATAAAGTGGTTTTTTTGAACAGTAGTGAACTATAACAACAAAAATTTTATTTTTTTATATTATTTTAATTAATTGAATTTTTGGCTGACCATACAGCTGTTTCGAGTATTGCCAAATACCCATTATCAGTGGTCTTGGAAATAATTCTTGTATTTAATTATTCGTAAATAATTATTTTGAGACTGCAAGTACCAGGAATCGAACTTGGGTCCTGCCAAATATGAAGCTCAGAATCAATTAAAATATATATATATATAATAAATATTTTCTTTAATATTTAATTCATTATAAAATGTTTTTATTTTGAATTTAAAAATATTAATTTTATTACAAATATTTATTATTATCATATTATGACATTACCAACAAATGAGCATATACTTTAATTAAGAAATTTGTTTCAATTTAGAAAAAAGTGAATAATCAAGTTTTGTTTACATGATCCAACTATTTCATAAAAAAATAGTGATCTCATCTAGAACAGCGGTTCTCAAACAAAATGGTACTGCGGACCTTAGAAATATGCAATATTTTGCAATGACTGACATCGCTATTTTCCTAACATACAATAACCTCTGAACCAAGTGCCGCTGGTACTATGAAATCTAAATTAAATAAAGAAATAAATCGACCCTAAAAAATAATATTGTTAACAGTGAGAAAACAATATTTTACGGATTGGTGGTGTGTGTTAATGGTACGGTAAGGAATCCATCCCCAGACTAACGGTTGAGAAACCCTGATCTAAACAATAGAGAAAATCGAAAATCAATTAATTTAAATCAAAATAATTTGAGAATATTGTTTTGAAATTGTTTTTAAAATTTATGAAATTAATATGACTCAATATTTGATATTTAAACAAAAAATAAATTTAAAACAATAATAAATGATAAATTACAAATACGTGTTATGCGCCCTAGAAGTATTCTTTTAATTAAAAATAAAATTATGTATGCAAGTTCTAAATAAACTAGATTTACCCAGAATTCTTACTTATGCATTTTCAGGAATTAAGTTTATTAAAAAGAATTTATTAGCATATGTGTTTAGAATGTTGTAAATAATTTTTTTTTTTTGCATATAATTAAATTGTATAAACAGTAACAAGTTTATGATGATTCAGTAAATAATTATAAAAAGTTCTTACTGTTTATGATTCATTGGTTTATTTATATGAGAAATTACTAATTGCCAAATATAAACAAACAATTTTTATCTAACGATAAAAATAAAATTCAAATTTAGCATTTGTCATCATCAGTTGAGCTGTAGTATTAATTGAGCATTACTTGCAGGTTTTCTCAGATCCGTATGCAAACTAGAATCTATATCTCTAAATTAGATACTTAAAAATTGCACTTGGTAAAAAATATGTTTGAGTTTATTAATATCGTAATGGTAAAAATATATAAAAATTCAAATTAATCTAACCTAAAGCAATCTTCTGATAAATATCTTTTGTGTTTGCAATTTTCAAAAATTTTTAAATTATTTTAGTAATCATATGATAACGATATAACTACTTAAATCTTTGCTCACTTGTGAAAGTTTGTTAAATGATACATCTTTGAATGAATTATATATATAGCTAATAAAATAATTATTGGCTTTAAACTTTTGCAAATTATTTTTTGAATATAAATTATTTAAACAAAATTTCTTTAACTATTATTCACTGTATACCACTAAACAGGTTCCTCTAAATAAATTCACATACACACTATATATATTATGCTTTATACATAATTAAATCTTATTAAATTAAATCTTATCAGATCATAAAATTATAAATTTATTCAAACACATTTGAGACACATATCATATCATTCACTTATGCATAGATATCAACATTTAATTTATTTATTAATAAATATACTAATAGTATATATTATGTACATGCATATCTTCAACTGTATGGTTACTCTGTTAGAATTCTTTTAATTAATTAAATATACAATTTTAGTAGCACCCCTGCTTTGTTTTTTATCACAACTTTTATTAATTACCTTTTAGATAAAAAATGTATCTCATCATTTTTTATTTTGTAATCTCTAAATTCTGCGCTAAATGTAGCGTTAAATAATATTAGTGTATTTGTAATTTATATTGAAATAAATTTTATATATTATGACAATTCTAATCCATGCCAAATATTACCTCCCATAAGTTTAATCTTTAAAAAAATATATAATAGTTTCATTTATTCTATAAGTTCTCTTTTTCAATCATTTCGACCCATAGGCAGGCTAGACAGGTTCGTCATTTAAATGAAAAAGTAAAATATTTTTGGGTCTGTCTAGCTCCACCTCCTTCTTCTTTTCCTTCCTTTCTCTTTTCATTTATTTCACTTTCAATCTGTCTTGTATTTTAGTGTTAATTTACTTGTTTGACTATATTTAAAATTAAAAACCAATAAATATTAATTTATCCGAATGTATTTATGTAGTTATGTATATTTGTGTATTGTCACATTGTGAAAATATTTCTTTAAAACATAATTTTTAAAATGTCTCAATTCATAATTCATAACAATGCGTACTTTATTCTTGGCATGGGTTTGATAATTTCTTTTCATTAGACGACGAAAGTCATCATGCATGCGTATCAGATATTCCCTTGGCGGGCACGTACTCGTATACATTATTTTTAAACTTTAAATAATGAAAGGAAGGGAAGTCGGATTTTTTGATTTTGTTTTTTTTTTTATTAAGAAATAATTCTAACAATATTATTATCATATGAAAATGTATATTACGATGTAGATATGTGAACTACTTTTGTTACCAATCTTAAAATAAGAATATTATAATTGCAATTAATAATTATACAAGTTATGTTTTAAAACATAAGATTTAGATATAATATTAATTATATTAATATTATATTAATAATATTTTATTTATATGTTTATTATATTTTAGGTTTCATAGGCTAATCAAACAGCTTACGCAAACCTTATAGTAGGTCTGTTCCACGAGCTACTCATAGTAAAACATGAGTAAAACAGAAGTAAAATTTACACAAAAATACTTGAAAATTTGCTGGTGGAACGCGTTTGTGTATACACAGTGTTTACTCAAAGTTACTATGAGTAGCTCG